ATATTAGTTTCTTTACGGGACGCTCTTATATCTACACTGATTCAAAACAAAAAGATGAATAAGTATTTGGCCTAGGAATTCCATGACGAATTTTCACTTTCCAGAAAATTGATCAAATTTCTATAAACAATTCCCAAAAAACTGGAAATTCGATGGCGAATTTCCAGTTTATAGAAAATCAAAGTACAATTTCCAGATTCTTGGAAATTATTTATAGAAATTCGATTGATTGTCTATAAAGTGAAAAATCCCCGGCGACTTTCTACCTTTACAGAAAACTGAATTTTATGGAAATTCAAGTCGATTTTCAGTAAAGTAGAAAAGCAACATTTTCTAGAAAGCTGGAAATTCGTCGAGGAATTTCTATAAGTTAGAAAACCCCCGGCGATTTTCTATAAACTAGGAATTAATTCAAGATTACAGTGTAAGCGACAAATTCAATTTTTTAAATTTCATCTGTTGAGCTCAACTTTGTACAAATTGATCTTGACGGGGGAAAAGAATATTTACTAATTTTTACCATGAAGAAGAAAAAGGTATATTCCTGTAAGCTCCGGTGGTACAGTGGTATACAGAGAGGTGCTCGAGGTACAGAGTTCGAATCTCTGTGTTATTTCTTTTTTTTCTAACCGATGCATCATACGATTAATCGCTAGATCCAACTAGTTTATACTAGTTTTTAGCACATGTATTTTCATACTAGATGCATCGGATATTGCGTCGAGTAATCGGGTCAAACCCGATATATCTGTTTAATCCGATATTTTTTACGCTTTTATCTAGATATTTTTGCTAGAGCATCGTCCGATACTCCAGTGAATGTATCGTAATATTTTTGCTGACGATTTCGTGCTTGGGAGAGGATTTATAACCGTAGAATCATGATAAGGCTTAGTAAAACACTCAGCAACTTTAGTACAAGCAAGTGAAATAAACAAAACTTAGTAATTGTTCTTTTAAAAATTCTCATCATTTATAAAAAGGGATGAACGAAAAACAAAAGAAGTAATTGACTTGTCTGTTTGTTACAGAAATAAGATCGATGTAGTTCGAATGAAAAGCATACACCTTAAAATAAGACGGATAAATTCATCATCTTACCGAGAAAAGTAAAATACATGTTCATAAAAGGGTCTTTTTTCAAAGTATTTATTTCTTTCAAAAAAAAAGAGAAGTGATCAGAAGTTACAGTGAACTAGATTTTTCTATACGCTAGTCGAAAAGATATCGATTTATTATTTTTACGTTAAAATAGCCTAATTAGGATATTTACACTATCTTATGTATCGTTCACTATAGATACAACTCTCATAACTTATTTCTGGCAATCATAGTTCTAAAATCAAAAGTTTATTTTAGGATGAAAAAAATCAGGTGCTAACCACAAACATTTGGCTTGAACAAGTAAGAAATTGTTCATATTCCTAATTTACGTTAACATAGTAATTTTAATATTATATTAGGAGTGGTTTGATCAACGTTTAATTTGGAATGCATCAGATTTCAATGGTTTAAGCACACTACGTTTACCATGTTCGAAAATATGGTTACCTGATATTGTATTATATAATAGTGCTGATGATTATACCCAAGGTAGATTATCTTGATAAAAATATCTTATAATACATTCATCTCAGCATTATATTTCCAGGTTATTATCAAAGCAAGGCAATGGTCGACTCAAATGGACATGTATTTTGGCCACCACCAGCTAAATTTCGTTCATCATGTAAAATAGATGTGACCTTTTTTCCATTTGACGGTAAAACTATCATTCCTCAAACCAAAAAATTTGTTGTACATACTCTTTCTTTTCTAGATCAACTATGTAAATTGAAATTTGGATCATGGACGTACGATGCTGCTCAAGTCAATTTAACAAAACGTCGTGATAATGTTGATATGTCAAATTATATAAAATCTGGTGAATGGCTTATCATTAACATTAGTATTAAACGAAACGATGTTACATATCCGTGCTGCCCGGGAATATATTATCCTGATATCACCATTTATGGTATAGTATAAATATCTTTTTCAGACATTTAATTGTTATTATTATTGTTCATTTGCAAACATAAAAATTAGCACAAAGCTTGCTAGTCAAAAACGGGTACAACACACAAAAACATAACAGAAGATGACATGTAGAATTAGATAGAGATGGTAGATTGTTTATTTTTTAACATTGATGAATATCAAAACTAACGGATACAACGATTTCCTATGGTATGCATCAAGTGCTTTTTTTTCGACAAAATTGAATTAAAGTATGAGGTGTTTATCTTGTTCTATAGTAGTTAAAAATCTTGTCACGGATTGATGTAGCACAGAAAATTACGGTCGAAATAATGGATAGAAGAAGAACAATAATTTGATGAAAGAAGATTTTCAATAGCGTCAAAAAACAATTGAAACATATGAATGTACCGCCACGAGTCCCTTTTTCAGACATCTCTTGCTCGTATAAAGCCTGAATTCTTCAAGAGCTAAAGTTATTACTTTGTACTGAGCAATATGTGCTCATTATGTAATTAGAGGAAAAAAGATTTAAATCCTTCCATTGATCGGAGATTTTCGTGCAGTGGAGGCAACAGTTATTTAAGTATGCTATGTTGTTCACAGGAGAATAATGAAAATTTTTTTTCTTGTCGTTATCTTCTTAGAGCTTTCACAAGCCCTGCTGATATTGAGAAATGAACATAGATCTGTGAAAACTCACAAATCTTTCTATGGATTTTTTTTTCTATGAAAAGAATGCATAAGATTTGAACTAGTGTTCTCATGAGAGAGACATGCGTTTTTGTCACGGCATCAATTAATCACCTCTATAAACTGAAAATACCACCATTTTAAACTAACTCCCAATGTTTTCTGGAAGTTTTGAGTAGAGTTGAACAGAAATCGTTTTCCGTGCTTTGATATTTTAAATCTGTGGATTTTAATAAATATTTAATTTTCTTCATCAAATGCATTTCTCCTCTTCAGGTACTCTGAAAACTCCTTCAAGTTGAAAACTTATTAATCACATGATATTTTATTGGCCAACGCGTATCAGGGAACTTGTAATACTGAGAAGAAAATGCACTAGAACGAGCATTCAAATCAACAGACTGATTTCTGAGGAACAGTTATGACAGATAAGGCCTTTACTACTGAGTTGACGTTGAGCTATATTTCTGTTACGGTGAAGACTATTACACAACTTACTTTCGCCAAGTCTGAATATCGATTTTTACATCTAAGTCTTCACTAAGAAACTTGAGAAAGTTTCTCTTATATCTAAGAAAAGACTAATAGAACATGTGTTTTTCAATATGCTGATCATGTATACTACGTTAGCAATCTAAAAACTTAAGTTTTCACTGAGAAATAAAAGTTTGTGTACTTTTTTCGTATTCTTTCATAACCATTTTACCACCGCTGTGATTGAAAAGCGTTGAAATCCCTTAAAAAGTGTCTCCTACATTGAAAAACTGCTCTCTTTTAGAGAATATGTTGAAAAAAATACGTTCGTCAACTTTTATTAAATTGTTGTCTTCACCACCGTTACTCAACGTAAACTGCAAACAAGTTTAACGCTTTATAAAGCACACAATTTGTTGTGCTCTAAATGACGTCTGCACATAACTTACTCAGAAAAAGAGTTCTTAAAACTCTTTTCATATGGGTAACTAGATGTGTTCTGCTATCTGACGGTGATAGACTGACTTCAACTCAACATCTATGATGGATCTTTAGAAATCTGATTTCTAAAGGTCGACCTAAGAAAGATCTATGGACAGCAATGATTACCAGATTCGTAACCACCATAAAAAATAATCCTTATTAAAGTGAGTTTTCAATGAAATTAGGATAAATCAATTAGAGGATTAATTTATCTAATTCGGTACCAAAAATATAGCCCTCAAATACGGGTGTCTCTCTCTTTTTTAGTTCATATTCGACGTCGTATATTATACTATATGTTCAATATTATCTTTCCCTGTATTTGGTTATCAATATTATCTTTACTCGGTTTTTGGCTTCCACCTGATAGTGGTGAAAAAATTACATTGGGCATTACCGTTCTACTCGCATTTTCCGTTTTTATGTTGCTCATAGCCGAATCAATGCCGGCCACATCAGAAATGGTCCCTCTAATCGAAATTTATTTAACTATTGTTATGGGTCTTACTTCGCTCTCTATCGTGCTTACCGTCTACGTTCTACAACTGCATCACAGTGGTCCGGTTGTTACACGTGTACCACATCATTTCAAGTATACTCTCGTACATATTATAGCCCCTGTTATTGGAATGCAAGAAACAGTCGCCATCTATGCACATGAACACAATCTCACGTTAAATGATGATGTT